AGTTGGGTAGTTTGATTTAATAAAATGTATAAAGGAGGCAAGTGTTTGTGGTGAAGGTAGAAGTTGGAGTTTGTAATGGGATAGGAATTTGTTATAGCATGTTGTATGATCATAAAGATCAAGTAGATTAGAAAGAGGAGGGTTAGTAGGTTTGCCTGATATAGTGTTTGTAGTTGGAGATGTATTGTCATTGTCTGAGTCTTCAGGAAAATGGTTTTTGGAAGGTTTGAATGTAGGTATAGATGTGTTTATAAAAATAGATGGAATAGTAACTTTTGTGGATGTTGTAAAGAATGTGCTTTGAGAGAGAGTCTTAGCAGGATTTGATAAGTTAGAAGCTAAGACTTTTTGAGTTCCTTCTATAGAGTCGCTCACCGTATGCCCGGCTTTCACGGCTGTGCAAGAGACAATTTTTGATTTTTAAATAATTTATTCTTAAGACTTATTTCTTTACAAAATAATTTAAATAGTATTTAGTGCTTCTATTGAACCAGACCAGATCAGACTTTGTTAAATTTGAGTCTGGTTCAATTTTTGAACCAGACTTGAACTTTGTTTAATATTTCAAGCTTTTAATCAAATTTGAGTCTGGTCTGGGTTTAAGTTTAAAGTCTGCAGATTAGTCTAAGTCTGAAAATATATAAATATAATGCTTCTATCAAACCAGACCAAATCAAACTTTAATTAAGTTTGAATCAAACTCAAAAAAACCAAATTAATTATAGAGATACAAATATTTAAAATTTTAAAGATAATTACCCTAACAAAAATATCATAGCTATATGGCATATTTGCCATAGTAATAAGACTAACTAAAAACTATTTAATAATATGTTTATAATGTAATAAATTATTTATAAAAAATAAGCACAAATATTGTTCTGAATAATAAAATTAAATTTTTATTAGCAAAAAAATTTTATACAAAATTTTCTTTTATATATATAATTGATTTAAAAATTTTTTAACTATATTTAAATCAAAAATATTAGCAATTTTTAAAATCATTTTTTATAATTTATATCAAATATATATATAAATATTATCGATTAATGATTTTGATATTTGATTTAAATTAGCTATAAATTTATCTATATCACTATTACTATTATCATTATCTGAATTGTCATTGTCTAAAATATTATCTTCTATTTTATTGGATTTTTTAGAAATTTGCAATTTTTTTTTTAAGTCTTGATTTATATACTAAAAAACTTGTACTATTTTTGTATCTTGGAGTAGAAACAATCTGTTATAATGTTCTGTATATATATTATCTAATAAGAACCAAACCTATCCAGAAGTTGTAGAATTAGATAAAATTGATAAAAGATGATATGCAAATTCACTCAAGTTTAGAGCAGTATAATGTATGGTATATTAATATCATAATGGAAATTTTGTAAAGCTTGGATTTTTAATAGAAGATACAAAAAATAGACCTTCTTGATTTGAATAATTTAACTATTCATTGATAAATCTATTCTGATTATAATTAGAGTAAAAAGTACAAAACAAGCCATATGTATTTTTTTAAATATATAAAAGCCAAGCTAGATTTAATCCTTCTCCATAATAATAAGAATGAAAAAACCAAGTAATTAAGTATATTAAATTATATATTTTTTTCTAATAATTATTAATTTTCATAATTAAAAAATCTTAAAAATTATTATTATTGTAAGTCATAGTAAGTAAACTTTTACAAAGCAATGCCTACAATGTAGCTACTTGATCTAATATAGTATTTTTAGTTTTTAGAATTTTGATAATATAATTATATAGCTTTAATAACTTGTAAAACAGTTCTAATTTTGTCCAGAATTCAATTTTTATTAATAATATCAATTATAATATTATTTTCTTGTAAGCATAAAATGAATGCATAAGTGCAATAATCTTTAAACTTGTTTAAATTTGTAATATTATTTTAGATACTTTTATAAATGTTGCATATTGTGTAATATATAGATATTAAGATTTTAAACTTGGATTGCCAACTAGCTCTCTTAGCTTAGATAGTACAAGATTAGAGTTTCAAAAATAATTAATAATCATTACTATTTTTTTAATAACTGGTTTAAAAAAATATTGATTTAACTATTTTTTTAACCAGTAAATTGGTTTAATTTACTATGTATAAAATTGTTATAATTTTGTTACCAATTTCAGAATCCTTATATATAAGACATTGTGCTTTTTTAAAATCAAGTTTACTATCTGAAATAAATACAATCTATTTATCTTCAAGACTTATTTCAATTTCTTTGTATATTGCAAATATATTATTATCCATATGATACTGATTAGAATAATTAACTATTTTCAAATTTTGATCTTTATACTTTTCATGATACATTAGTCCATCCATCATCTAAAAGTGTTAAAAATTTTGAATTAAATATAAATTGTTAAACATTATATTATATATTTTCATATATATTTTTTAAAATATTAGTATTAATTTATTTGCAAAATAGAAGCTAATATTCAAATTTTAACATACTAAATAACTTAATTACTTTAGGGTTTTCAATAAATGATAATTGGTTTATTAGATAAAATTATTTATTGCTCTAAGTAATTGATGATCAATAGATAGATGCTTTATCTCTAACAAACAAGACCAAAATAGACAAAGATAAAGTTGATAAATCTGAAGTAGACAAATTCAAGATAGAAGTAGACAAATCTAAATTAGACAAATCTGGTATAGACAAATCCTAAACTGATTCAATTTTATCAATCTGGATTAAACTTCTTTTTTCTTTTTTTTTAAATATTTTGTATTAGTGGTTTTTAAAATATTTTTAATATTATCACATTCATCTTAATCAATATTTTTACATTTTTTTAATAAATATTTAGTTATTTTTTGAGGTTCTTCAGAGCAGTTTTCATTGCAAAAGTTACATTATGCCAAATAATATAAACTATTAACCTTTTTACCTTTGTTAAATTATTGTCAGATTAGTTTTTTTTTCTTCTATTTTTAAGTTAAGATAATATTTAATAACAGTAAATCAAAATTTTTTAACAAACAGATATTAGACAATTATTGAATAACAAATTATATTTAGTATATTTAATAAATTAAACTTTTTTTTTTTTTTTTAGCAATTTTGTTTTTATTATGTAAGAGATTCATATTATTTATACAAAAGTACATAGCTATTGCCTATACCCTCCTTTCTTCTTAATAAAAGCTCATCTGGCTGCTTTATAAGTATCCAGATGTGATCTGCCACAGCAACTTTTTTCTCACTTTTGGCTTTCAAATTGCTAAAAGATTATCTATTAGATCCTAGAAAGATAGTTGCTAGCCTTGTCAGAACTGTATTTATGATCTATACTTGGGTGGTTTGTATAAGTCTGACTACTTCAGTTTTTTATTAAATAGGACTACTTTTTTGATTTCTTCTATTTTTTTTCATTAATTTCTCTCAATCTTGTTAAGTATGCCTTCTTTGTTATATTTATTTTGGCTTTTTTTTCCTTTAGTTTTGTACTCTTGTACTGCTAGCTATTTTCATACTTACTTCTTTTCTTTGAGTTTGTGATCTCTTTGTCCTTCTTCCATTGGTTTAGTGCTTTATATTTTAAATGCTATATTACCTTCTGAAAGTGTTTTCATAACTTTAAAATATAGTTCTTTCTTAATGCCTTTTCTTTTTTGTTTTCATTTGGAATAGCCCAGATTACTTCTCTTATGTAATTAATTCTGTTCTTGTATCTTTTTTCTTGAGTTGTTCCAAATATTTTTTCTTCAAGATCCTTTAGAAATAACATATTGCTTCTTTTCTTAGCATCTTTTTAGTTTTGGGCTTTGGCTTTTTCAAAGGTTTTTTTTTCTATTCTTCTCTACACTTCTTCATATATTTCACAGGTAGCTAAATGTGCTAGATCCTCCTTTTTTTTAAGATATGCAAAGTATATATTTGTTGAGTACAGGCCCAGGTTTCTTCTATTTAACTTGTAGAGGATTGGCAATAGCTCATTTATACACTTTATATTATAGACCCATTTGTAGCTACTTCTAAGACTTATATATTTACTTTCCACCTCTTTTCTTTATATTTCTCATGTATTTCTCCAATCTATTTGCTTTTTATTTGTACTATTACTAACTAGATTGATTATATTTTTACTATTTATCCACTCTATACTATAATACATTTTGGTTATATTGTCTACTATTTCTCTAATTGGGATACCTATAACTACCTTTTTCTATCTTGAAACTACTTTTATAAACCTTGACCACTCTACTTCAAAACAACAACTTAAATTATCTATGTTTTCTTCTTTGGCTAAATTATCAGCTACATTATTTAATTTTATATTACTGTACCCCTTCACTTTAATAAGTACTAGGTTTATGTTTTTAGTTTTAACCAAATTTATAATTATTGTTATAATGCTTCTATTCTTAAGCTTTGTTAGACTTGCTTCTTTAGAACTCGATCTAGCTTTTTTGATTATACTTATCACATTTGTGCTATTTGTAAAAATTTTGACTTTGCAGTTACTAGATACTGCCAATATTCCTAAACTTATTGCATCTAATTCTGCCTGTATTGATGAAGACTAGTCCTTTATTGTATCTGAGTACTATGCAACTATTGTCTCTGTATTCTTTTCTGCAATTACCTAGCCTACTCTCATTCATTTTAGTTTGTTAATCTGGTGGTTTTCTTTTAGAAACCTATCTGTATACATGTCCAATTCTAATTTGTTAACTACTAATTTTTGCTATATATTCTTTAATCTGGCTTTATACTCTTGCTCTTTTATATATCTGTCAATAAGGTCTTCTTTTAGGCTTCGGACTATAACAGTAGGGCTGTTTACAATATCTAGAGTATTTTCTCCTATACTCGTGTTTTTGCTAAATGCAGATAAAGGCAACTCATATAAAATTTTGTCCTTCTTCTTCTTTTTGATACAATTCTTCTTAATAACTCTTTTCATGTTTTAAAACTTCTCTTTATCTTGCATTCTTCATCAGCACTTCTCGTAGCTAAGCTACACTTCATATATTTCTTGTATGTGTTGCTAGTTATATTTTCTTTTTTCCAATATGTTACTTCAACTCTTTTATTTGATTTCTTTTTCTTCTTTATATGCCCTATTTCTGTAATATCTTCTTTGTTTGTAAATACTATTCACTTATATCTTCTCTTGTCTGTCAAGATATTTTGTAGTATTGATATTAAAGCTGCCTGATTTTCTTCTTTGGTACTAAATACTGGGTGGACCTCTCTTGTTATCTTATTTCTAATCACCACTTCTTCTATACTGCTAAACCAAGAGGGTTTTCTGCCACACTTTTTATTTTCTTGCAAATATCTAAGGTTATACTATATTATCAAAATCTTTCTATTTTTTTCTAGTAATTGCTCAAGAAAAAAGATTTGCCCAATGCTGCTTTAAAGAAATCTTTTTCTTTCTATCTTGTTTAGAAGCAACCAAATTTCTATATCTGAGTCTAGATTCATATTTTCTATTATCTCTTTGCAGTCTAGCTCTATATCTAGCTTTTTTGTCTCTTCTATAACTTTTGCATTAAAGTTTGTATTTATAAGTATTTCGCTAAAATATTATTAATCCTAGCTAATTATGCTGTTATAGCTTTTATTGTTAAGTTGGGCCTATCTTAATTGTATCCAGATTATATTGCCTACCATTTCTGTACTGTTTACTTTTTTAACTAAGCAAGTTATCTGTTGTGCAATTTGTACTTGCTACAAGCTTTTGGTGCCTACTATGTTAAAGTGTAAAATGATATTGTTTGCTGTAGAACAGGCCAGACCTGCTTTTTTTTTAAGCAGTATAAGAAAAGATCTATGTATTCTATCACATGTCTGCTTGTTTAGAACTTGATACTTCAGTTTGTATTCTAATTATAGTAGCAATACTTTGTTATTTATATACTGCAAGTGATCTAACGAGATCTTCTTATTCTTTAGCACTTTTATAGCCCCTATTATCTCTTTTTTGGCTAAGTTTATTCCATAGTTTTTCTTGTTTTTTTCTGAGATCTATACTCCAAGAAATCTGATAGCTTTATCATTTCTTTTTGCTTTTATAATTACTTCATTTTTATATTCAATACTTCAGTTGTTCTCTTCAAGGCTTTTTCTTTTATTTATTACTATTAACTTTGATTTCTTTTCATTAATTTTAATGTCGTTTAATTTAGGGAATACCTATTTCCACCATGGTAATTTGCTATTTTCACTATGAGTTATACAAAGATTTACAAGATTTTCTATTTTTAGTATTTATATAGTAAAAATTAGGTTTTTTAAAAATTAAAGAATTTTTTAATAAGTAAATCTTTCTTCTAGCTCTAAAAAAAGTTGTAGAGGAAAATTTTTTGGTTCTAATAATAGTTAGATTATTAAAATAGGCCTAGTGAATTCCAAGATATTTGGGATTAAAGGTGCAAACATAAAGATTTACAAATTTACTATTATACAAAGTATTATAAATTATAACTACCTAGTATCCTCAATCTAAAAAATTTTACAATTGGGCTGAATTAAAATTTAAGATCAGGTGTAATATAAAATTAAACTAAAAATATCCAAACTCTAATCCTAACCTAACCCTAACTCTGGTAGCAAAATTTTTTAGATTGGGGATGCTAGGGTCATAATAAATTATAATACTTTGTATAACAGTGAATTTGTAAATCTTTATATTTATGCCTTTAACCCCAAATATCTTGGGATTCACCAGGCAGATTTGAATGATCTAACTATCATTAGAACTAGAAAAATCTTCTCTACAACTTTTCTTAGAGCTAGAAGAAAGGTTTACTTATTAGTTTTAGAGTTAGAGTTAGAATAATATTAAAATTTAAAACTAAAGTTAAGGTATAATTTGTGGTTTCTATCTTTGTTGTTTGTAATATTTTTTAAGTCTATCACTATTATAATACTGCTTTAATATTTGTCCTTTGTCACTTTATAGTTTATATATATCATTTTTAAGTTTGGCATATATTATATAAGGTCCTTTTCTTTTTTTTCAAATTTGACAAAATATGAGGTGGCAATATCTTTATGTTAAATCCAAACTTTATCTCCAACTTCAAATTCTACTGGTGTTATTTGAGTATCATGTCTTTCTTTTTGTTTTTGTTGTGATGCTATTGTATTTTTTTTAGCTTGATTTTGGCTTTCTTCTAACTAGTCTATTAGCTTATAGACTTTGGTTAAAATACTATTTTTGAGATCTATTTCTGATTCTGGTTCTGAAGTTGGTAAAATTAGTTTAATTAATAAAGTAGCTTGTCTTCTATAAACTAACTAAAATAGAGTATATCCTGTAGTTGTATGCTTTTTAGTTCAGTATACAAATAGTATAGAGGGTAAGTAGATATCCCAATCCTTGCTTGTAGTGACTTTTGCAAGTGATTTACATAATGTTCTATTTAGTCATTCAACTATTCTATTAGTTTGTAGGTAATACAATGATGAAAATTTGTGTTGTATTAAAAACTTTTTACATAAAATTCTAATCATATCACTTCTAAAATTTGGCTCTTAATTCAAAAGAATAATTTTAGGTATTTTCTGTCTACAAACTATTTTAGTAAATATAAATTGAGCAAGTGTAGCAGTGCTAGCATCTGGTATAGCTTATACTTTTGGCTATTATATTAGATAATCTGTAGCAATAATTATATAGCAGTTTTTCTGGTTGGTAATAGATAATGG